GTGCTTTGGCAGGCTGCCATCTGCGCTGGTTAGGGGTTTACGTGACACTTTCTGCCTCATAAAAATAGCACAGATACAGACAGAGATAACGTCTCATAAACAACTGACTATGGCCTAATCCCATTTCACCCCTTGCCCCTACCACCTAGCCCTACCCCATCATTTTGCGTGTTCATGCCTAGGGGTGGGGTGATTTTTTGTTGAGATTGGGGGGAATTGTTAGGGCTACATGACCCTCCAAACAGAGGTTTTTCCGAGGCACACTCCAAACAGTGTATTATGAGAATTAAAGAGGCTGCACAAGTGACCAAAGAAGCCCACAAGTGTGAATATTTTCTTCGTTAAAAATTACAATAACCATTGTGTTGTACGTTTTATGGTCCTTTTCTTCATAACAAGCATAAAAAAATTGCTAGTAGTAAGCAGATGTCTTGATAGCCAGCTAACTAAATTTCCTTTTCCACCTTAAATGGAGCAGTTACATTCTGGCACCTCAGATGTGAGAACTGCTGCTCCATTTAAGGTGGAATGAGAAAATTCAAACAAGAAGCTGGCAAATATCTGACTTCAGCTTCATATCACTGAAAAATTAGGGGTGGCGATAGTGAATAACTGTTGCCTCTCCCCTCTTTGAAGGCATATGATGCCCTAAATGTAACTAAAGCCCAGCAGTGAGGAGCTGAACTTTACCCTCCTCTGCCATCACTGCAGACTGGCAGGGTCACATACAGAGCAGCGCTAGTAGCCTGTTAATAAGGTAATGTTCCTTTATTTGAAGGTTGTCTCATTTCATAGGGGAAGATTTCAACCACTACCCCTTATAACTCAGTACCAAGGGGCAAAGTGACACTGAAAAACAAGGGGTAGGGTATGAATAAGAAATGGGATTGGGCCTATGTCTTTATAAATCTACTCAAGTTCCACCCACAAATGTATTCTTCATAATCACTGTTGCAAGGTTGGAGAAATGTTTTAGAACTCTGAGAAAAATCCCACTTAACCAAATGAGAAACCATAGCACAACTCAGTTTTGGTCATAATTCCAAAATTTCTAAACGTCTAAATTAAATTTGTATTCACATGGGTGGTTACAGTATTGTGATAGCTTCAGTAATGAATAGAAGTAAACACTGCCAGCTTGTTTTCCCTCTATACTTATTTTAGGAGTTTTCATCCACTCTTCCTTGCAGAACACTTCTACTTCTACTACAATATTCTTGGGCCGTCTTTCATGCACAACATTAAGATCTACCCCCAGATTTTCAGTGATGTACGAGTCAGAGAATTGAGTACCATTCAATAAGCTTCAGCTTGAGTTTCTTGAAGTACTTCATGGTGGATTTTGAGGTATGTTTTGGATCATTGTCCTGTTGTAGCAGCCAGCCTTAGTCTGCTTCTTGTCAAATTTGCCTCCAAAATTTGTTGGTATATAGTGGAATTTATGACTGCTTGCCAAACAACCCCAAAGCACTTATGCTTTACAGTTGGCACAGTGTTAGTTTCATCAAATGCTGCTCCTTTTCTTCTCCAAACATACGTTTGGTGATTGTAGACGAAGTGTTCCATTTTTATTTCATCAGTCCACAGTACTTGTTTCCAAAATGCCTCTGGCTTATCTAGAAGTTATTTTGCATACTTCACGCACTGACTTGTGATGAGGTTGCAGGCAAGGTTTCCATCTGATGACTCTGTAGCACCACTCTTGTGGCAACTAAACCCTCCTCCTGGTTCTTTGCCATCATGTGGGGGTTTTGCTTTGCCTTTCTGGCCAACATATGAGCAGGTCTATCTGAACGTTTTCTTATTCTTTTAGATCCAGCCTTGACAGTTCCCCTTAATTGCCATTGGAAAGTAGAAATTGTGATTTTGAAGCACTTTGATCAATCAGCTTCAAACAGCTTCATTTCAGATCCACATCCAGCTGCTTAGAGGATTGTTATATTGTTGTTGAGTGTTAATTACATTTTGAGACTTCACAACTGAAAGAATCTCCAAACATTTTCACTTGCCACAATTAATCTTTATTTTTCAACAGAAACAAGATTTTCAACAAGGCGGAGACTACAAAGCAAACTGTCAAACTCTTATCAAACGAACCAGAAATCAGAAATACTAATTATGTGATTTAGACTGTCAGAAGCATTCAGAAGAGTCTAGTTACTTTTATGTTCGATATGTTTATGTTTATATACCTAGCATGCAATGAATATCTGACATTAGCAGTCTGGCTAGCTGTATATCAGTGATTAAGCGACCTTATATTTGAGTGGCATTAACAAAAATGCTAAATTATGGTGGACATTTTAAGATGTGAGATCACCTATAGGATTTTTAGCAATAAACACATAATGACTGTGCTGCAGCACCATGACTTTCCATAGGCTGAATGGACAGTAGTTTGTGCGTGAGGTGCGTCCAACAAACACTTTGCTTCATGCACACATTTGAAAACAGTGGAAAACAACTACACACTGTTTTCCTATAAAAAATGTTAAGTACTGTTGGAACGCCAGTCCACCCTGACTTTTACTTCTGGATCTGGGTTCTAACATTCTGGGCCATTTCCAACCATGCTGCTGGATTAGGAGCATCCATTTTTTTCTATCATCAAGTAATGTAATGACCATTTCGGCCAGGCTGTGTACTCCCGCTCTGATAAACCTCCTGGAATTCTCACTCTCTTTCTCTCTGCATCTCAAAGCAGTTACACAGGAGTGTGGAGGCTTTCATAACGTCATAAACACGTGCTGGAGAAACTAACAGGAATGAGCAGACTGCAGTGTGAGGAGGTGAACTGAGGGGACAACATGCTGTCCTTTTAGCATGCTTATGTCTGTATGTGGTCATGTGTTGATCTCTTTGTGGGGGCCAAATGTCCTCAGGGAGGAACTATGGTCAATTAGTCAATGAGTGATATATATATAATTTATACAATTTTAAGATCTTTTTGAGTAAAATCTGAGTGTGCAAGATTTAAAGTATTTTGTCAAATCTGAATATTTCTGTGTATAATTTAAACCTTTTCATGTAAAATTTCAAGATCTTTGTGTCTGATTTGAAGATTTCTGTGTAAAATGAAAAGATTTTTGTGTAAGGTTTAAAGGTTTTGTGTAAGATTTGAAGATCTGAACAATCTGAAGGAAGATTTAAAGGTTTTTGTGTGAGATCTGAAAGGTTTTTTGTACAACTGGAAGCTATATTAGTAAAATTTAAGCAAGGTTTGAAGGCTTTTGTTCTAACGTTTGAATGTTTTGTGATGGTTCGGTTTTTGTGCATAGTTTAAAGGTTTTTGTGCACAATATAAAGGTTTTCATATACAATTTGATGAAGTAAAATTGATTGCAAAATTGCAATTTAAAGATTTTTGTGTAAATTTGAAGGCTTTTGCATACAATTCTAATAAGTATGATGAAAAAAAGGAAGATTTCAAGATTTTTGTGTACGAATTGAAATTATTTTGTCTAGCTTTTCAAGATTTCTGTATACAATTTAAATATTTTTGTTGGACAACTGGAAGATTAATGAGTAGAATTTGAGCAAGAACTGATTTTTTTTGTGCTAAAATTTAAAGACGTTTTGCATAAAATTTGATGGTTTGGGCAATTTAAAGATATTTATGTAAACTTTGAAGGGTGTGCATACAATTTGAAAAAAAAGTATAAGTAATAATGGAGTAAAATTTCAAGATTTTTGTCTATGATTCAATAATTTGTTCAAAGATATTTTCAAAGAATTTCCTGAGTAAGATTTCAAAGTTTTGTATAACAACAAACACTTTGCTTCATGCTCACATTTGAAAACAGAAGAAAACAACTACACACTGTTTTCCTGTTGAAAATTTGTTAAGTACTGTCGGAACGCCAGTCCACCCTGAACTGGGTTCCAACACTCTGGTCCATTTCCAACCATGCTGCTGGATTAGGAGTGCCCATTTTTTTTCTATCATCAAGTAATGTAATGACCATTTTGGCCAGGCTGTGTACTCCCGCTCTGATAAACCTCCTGGAATTCTCACTTTCTTTCTCTCTGCATCTCAAAGCAGTTACACAGGAGTGTGGAGGCTTTCATAACGTCATAAACACGTGCTGGAGATTTGGAATTTTTTGAAAGATTTGAAAGATTTTTGTGCAGCATGTCATGATTTCTGTGTATGAATAAACATTTTCGTGTAAAATTCTTTTTGTAACATTTGAAGATTGTATTGTGAACCTAACCCAAACAAACAGAGAACATTTATTTATTTAATTCATTTGTTTAGTCATTTGTACATATTTAAGAGCTGTTTGTTAATCTAACGCTTGCATCTGCAGTGGACTGTCCCAAGTATTTGAGCCCCCTCGAGCCTTGTGGTCTGAAGCCCCCTAAGGCTGCTGGCAGTCAGGGTCCCAGGACACTGGCTTCAATGACCCCAGAAATAGGATGAACAGTTAGTGACTGTTGGGACATCTGTCTGCTCTCCACGACGACCGGGACTGATTTCAGATGCATCTGCTGGTTTCCTAATGGAATCTAAAGGTGTCCTACAGGAAAATAATGGTCTCTAATGGTAACCATGGAGCCAATTTCCATTAAAAAAGCAAAACCATCAGGATTTTATCCAAATCTGGTCTCTGGTTGCTGAGGTTGAGCTGAGAGCTGAGTTGACTGGAGCGCAGCACAATTTACACGCGCTGGTACACAAATACGTGGAAACACTAGTGCGTAGGGGGCAGCGGAGGTGTGCACGCGCACGTGCGCATGCTGAGTCGGCACTGGCGCGCGCGCACACAGCTTCAGTCCAGCACGTTCAGTACTTAAGCGATGCGGGCGCGCGCCAGGGAGCCCGACGTGAGTGCGGAGAGACCGCGCGCTCCACCTCAGCCAGCGCGCGCCGCTGCTTCACCACAGAGCACAGCCGCCGCGTCCGGTGAGCAACGCTGCTCTAAGAGAGAGAGAGAGAGAGAGAGAGAGAGAGAGAGAGAGAGTATAAAGCAGAGCGCGAGGAGCGAGCAAGAGGAGGTGGAGGAGGAGGAGAAGGGAGCTCGAGCTCCGATCACGAGTCATGAGGAGCCGGAGAGGACGGAAACGGAGAGTTTAGGCGCGCTAGCTCTGCAGATGAGGACACGAGGCAAGAACCGGGGATCAAAGAAGTAAGAGCGGTTATGCTTTACGCACGTTCAGAATGTTTGGGCGGCTCGTGAGACGGTAGTTTGGTGGCTCGTGAGACTCTGGCTGTGGCTGGATGGGGTCCCAGGGTGTATTTAGTGTAGGGAGGGAGATGCTGAGGTGGAAGCAGCTCATGACTGATAGACCACTGACCACTCCAAGAGTCAGTAGATAGCAAGAGGAATTGAATAAATACTCAAACAAACAAAATTACCAGCTTAGGTTTTTCACAAAGCCAATATATCATCCAACAGACTGATATTTGTTGATATTAATTGATATTCAGATCATTTTAATTAATGACGAGCATCTAAAAGTTGACTATTAGAGATGGATGTTGGTAAATTGTTACCAGTGGGTTTCAATATGGGGACAACAGTGCTGGATTTGACTCTGGAGGGCAAAAAGAATGAATCCACTCCAATCCAGTAACAAATGGAACCACGTATTGATTTATCCGTAACTATGAAATAGGTATCATTTATTGTCCTTTCCACTTTGCATGCATGAGTGTTCTGCATACAAAACTCCAGACCTGGTTTTCCTACCACATGAGGAAAACGCCATTAGTTTTCCAACAGTATTTGTCCTTCTTAATTATTAGTGATTGTATAGTCGGCATGAGGTCTCCTTCTGCAGTTTTAATGGATGAAATGTGGATGCAGGTAAAAAGTTAATGCAGTGAAAGTTTTGCTCCAGTGAACTTTTTATTAATCACTTGTGGAACAAAGACAAAGAGGAAGAAGGAACGTATTCTTCAAGCAGAAACAGCGACAAAGTTATTATTTTTCTTTTAATCAGGGCGAATCATCTAAAGCTGAGTGGGTAACGGCCCATTCTGCTAAAGCGTTCATCAACGACTCAGAGCTGAAGCTCCACTGCAGCACTTTAAGTGAGATGGCTCTGCTTTAGCGTAAAGTTACCATGAGCTCTGACTTGAAAGACGACATTAGCATTAATGTAGAGGTGGCAAAAATGCAGTATCACGATACTTCAAGAAGTTTTCATGATATGCCATATGTCACTATATATACATATATAGTGTGTGTGTGTGTGTGTGTGTGTGTGTGTATAAGTGATATGTTGGAAAAGATGAATTGCATTAAAAATGGTTCATGGTTTTATTGTCAAGTTGTTGCACCCAGGAAATATGATACATGAAGACAATTGCTTTCTGTAAGTTTACGAGTTTCGGCAATTGTGTTCATGTCATATATTTTTTCATAATGTGCCACTCTAAATCCAGTTAAACATGAATTATTGTACTGTCTTCGTTATCAAAAATGCAGTTTGAAAGTGTTTCATATCCAAGATATGCTAAGAAAAGAATAATGTGATACAGTACGATAAATACGATAAATATGGCTTAGCCCTGTGTTGATGTGTATGTGGTGAAAAGGCTTTTGGCTTTGTCGCCCCCTTCTGGCACTGAAGGAAACTGTCCTAGATATATTGGACATTACTGGTTTTACGTTAAGAAAATATCAATATTTACTGACAATTTTGTTCTGATTTATCAACTTTACATCAACAGAATTGCTTATTGTCCCAGCCCCAGAAAAAGAATACTCACAGTATGTGACATCATGTTGTTAGCTATAAAATTGTTGGCTTATTTAATAGCTTAGTAGTTTTCAAAGAAAAGTTATCAGATCAGTATCGATATTGGCCCATAGTTAAGGTTGTATACTTAATCGATATGAGTATTAGAAAAGAGAACATGGCATCATTCCGTCTCTACAGGTTCAAACTACACACAGTGTGAGTGAATGCAGTTTCAGGACACATTTGTTACAGGATCAGCATCCGTCTGATCTCCCATCCAGTGTCTTCTGCTGATATCAGTCCGAAACCGATACCCATCGATACCAATATGTATTGGCAGAGTAAATATGACTATTTTTGTCTGTTATTTTTATATTACAGTCGTGTGCAAAAGTTTCGGCTCCCCCGGTCAAACCAAGTTTTGTTAACACATCCTCTACAGAGAACACACTTCTGCACACTTTACTGCACACTTACTGTTTATTTGCTGAGGATCTATTTGCTCAGCAAATGCATTTATTTATTTACTGAGTAGAAACTGCGCATGGAAATCTTCAGAAAAAATGCCTTGTTTAAGTTTGTTCTCTGTAGAAGACGTGCAGACTTATTGTCACTTAGAAAATCAACAAAACATAATTTGAGTGGGGGTGTTAAAACTTTATGTACAACTGCAAATATATGTAACAGTTTATTTTTTATGTTATGTTTTTGTTTTATTGGTAGCCTATTTATCGTATTATTTGATCCTTTTATGCTGCTCATGTCTGTGCCACCTTTTCAGCTGTTTTTATGTCTTTGTCTTGTTTTATGCAGCCTATTTATTGAATTCTATTCTTTTTCATTTTCGTTTGAAGTGCTCTTTTGATTTAGCCTGGTGTACCTGTATGTGTATCTGAAGATTAAAAGTCAAGTGGGCTTTTGCTGTGCGTGGGTTGAGAGAGAGAGATAGAGAGCGAGAGACAGACAGAGAGAGCTTTCAAAACCTTATACATTTTTAACACAATTCCTCTCACTTCTAAATAGCACATTATGTTCTAACACGTCCAGTTTGCAACTGCAGCTTCGAGCGCTGCTTCTCTGCTTGTAAACTCGAGGCCTGTAGCTGATGTGTAGTTTAATTAGATTTAATGTGATGTAGTTATAGCATGGCTGTGGATGGATGGACAGTAGAGAGAGGTCAGTGCAGAGATCAGAGCTTTTACAGGCTGATGAGTCCTATGGGAGTCATCACTCGTTCCCTATGGACATCTCGATTTATCAGCGAGTCAATTTATGGAATACTTTTCGCTGTTGACTCATAATATTTAAAGAGTAATTCACTTAGCAAAGGTTTCTGCATTATTAAATGGTTAATATGTAAACAAAGTCATTCAGAGCGGTTTGATGTGAAACACTCTATTCTAGATAAACTCAGAATTGTTTAAAATGGTGGTGATAGGAACCAGACGTCTGAAGAGTTTAATGTCCATAAAAGCTTCTTAACAGAAAGATATTGCATAAAATGGTTATGAATATGGTACCTGATGACTGAGATATTGTTTTACTATAATTTTTGAGGTACATATTTTTGTGGAGTGGTACATGCAGGGTGTTATGAGGCAAAAGAGTCCCCAAAGAAAATATCATTTTTCAGGTATATCATTATTTTACCATCATCAACATTACATATAAACTCATAGGACACATGAAGGTCCACTGGTTGTTTCAGGCAGGAAACAAATGGCTATATTTATGACATTGTGACCCACCACACAACGTTGTGTTGTGTTGTAATGGCAAATAGTCCCCCAAAAAATTTATCTTTCTGTTAAGAAACTTCTACATGCAAATATATAAAACATCTGGATGGTCTGACCACTGTACACACTGCTGTTTCACATAGAGCTCAGTGTTTATCTTCTGTCTTGGTTAAAGATGTAAAAGGTGACAATTTAGATACGTTTCTGAGCCTTTTGGCTGCAGTTGGTAACCTATCAGGGGGTCTTGTGTAGAAGCACAAACACTGTTTGTGGTCTGGCAGAGGAAAAAGTGAATCAAACTGTTGTATGACTGACAAGAAAAACCATAATCACTGGTAAAAGGGGTCAAAAATGAAAGAATGACTTAGAGTTGAATAACAAATGCTGAAATTACCAAAATACACTCCTCTAATATAGAGCAATTTATTCTAACTGTGTTTCAGTAAGGTTTAAGCTACACCAATGACCATAAAGTGATTTGCTGACACGTGAAAATGTACACATCTCAGTTCCTGAGCAATGAGTCTGTCTTCTTCCTCACAGGCTACTTTTAAAAGTGTTCCTCAATACTCACCTGTTAAATATTTGGTGAAACAGTTGAAGAGAAAGCCAATTCCAGTACAACGTTGCTAGTCATATGTTGTAGCTAGCTAATGTTATTACTCTCCTGTCTCCTTCACTCCCCCTCCTCTTCCAACCCACCAAAATATACCCTAAATCATATGGCCAAAAGTAGGTTATTGAGTTCAGGTGTTTCAGTCACACCCACTGCTAACAGTATAAATTCAACCACATAGCCATGGAATCTCCATAGACAAACACTGGCAGTAGAATGGATCATACTGTAGAGCTGTGCCCCAGTCAGTTCAGAAAATTTCTGTCCTGATAGATCTGCCCCTTACAACTGTAAGTGTTATTATTGTGAAAGGAAAGCATCTTGGAGCAACAACAGCTTAGTTCTGAAACAGTAGAAGCATGTAGCATGTAAAAACTGCCTATCTTCTGTTGCATCACTCACTACAGAGTTCCAAACTGCCTCTGGAAGTAATATTAGTACAAGCACTGTAGGTCAGGAGCTTCTTGAAATGGGCTTCCATGGCCGAGCAGCTGCACAGAAGCCTAAGATCACTATGCTCAATGCTAAGTGTCGGCTGGAGGGGTGTAAAGCGCCGTCACTCGACTCTGGAGCAGTGGAAGAGTTTTCTCTAGAATGATGAATCACACTTCACTATCTGGCAGTCTGATGGATGAATCTGGGTTTGGTGGATGCCAGGAGACTCTACCTACCCAAGTGCATAGTGCCAACAGTAAAGTTTGGTGGAGGAGGGATAAAGGACTGGAGCTGTTTTTCATGGTTGGGCCCCTGAGTTCCAGTGAAGGGTGATGTTAATGCTACAGCATACAAAGACGTTTTGGACAATAATATGCTTCCAACTTTGTGGCAGCAGTTTGGGGAATGCAGAATGAGTGTCCCTGCGCCCTGAGCCCTGACCCCAACCCCACTGAACACCTTTGGGATGAACTGAAACTTTGATTGCAAGCCAGGCATCAGTGTCTGACCTGACTTCACAAATGTTCTTTTGACTAAATGGCACAAATTCCTACAGACACACTCCAAAATCTTGTGAAAAACCTTCACATGAGAGTGGAGGCTGTTATAGCCAAAAAGGAGGGGCAACCTTGTATTAACACCCATGGTTTTGGAATGGGATGTCCAACAAGCTCATAGAGATGTGATGTTCAGGTGTCCACAAACTTTTGGCCATATAGCGTACATGTGAAAAACGGCTGTTTCATTTTCAGTCGTGAAGACCCCTGGTTCCCATCACCACCACTGTAAAGAAATCTAAGCCACTAAGATTCTCATCAAAGTAGGGGTTATATGGAAAGTGTTCTCAGGGTAGGGCTGAAAATGTATCTCTACTGAAATCACAATCTGAAAGAGTGCAATGTTCAAATTGCAAAAGCGATTTATTTTAATTCTGTCCTACATTATCCAAAGTTTTCACAGGTTTTAAGCAAAGAAATTTAACAGCACCGATGTGGGAACTATGGGCCGATACTGTTCATGTCTATATCTGTCGAAGCGAATACATACAGTTTGAATGGTCCTGTTCAAATGACAGGTTTTGAATGAGATGGTTCCCATGATGGTTAGTAAGGCTTGATCTTGTCCCCATGATGGTTAAGCAAGCACTTAGTAAGGCTTGATCTTGTTCCCATGCCTTATTAAGACGTGACCATGCATTAGGATCTTGTTCCCATGTGTCAATATGGCATAATTTGTATTTATACGGAATCCCCTACAGAAGTGTATTTTCTGTAGAGGATGTGTTCACTTACAAAATCAACAAAACATATCATTTGACTGGGGTTGCCAAAACTTGCATATAACTGTAAATATTTGAATAAATATAGAAATTGGGACTTAAATCTACCAGGAGAAATATAACATTTATTTTAGTAGAGCTAAAATGCAGTAAAATTGATAAAATGAAGATATTTTAGCAAAGTAACCCAGCGTCACCTAAACCAGGCATGTCAAACTGGTGACCTTCCAGGCCAAAGTGCTGCAGAGATTAGCATTTACCGCTCTGAATTCAGTTCATGAAGGGCTTGCTAATGAGCTGATCAGCCGAATCAGGTGTGTTTAATGAGGCAGTGTGCTGAAATCTGCAGTGTTTCGGCCCACGAGGACTGGAGCCTGACACACATGATCTAAACATTCTGCTCTTTTGGAGTGCAATAAATACAAATCAATACAATAATGATTTGAAATATTAGCCAAATCTAAACATCATGCTGATACTTTGTTTAGACAAAAATACTGATATAATTTCTATGTCGTCATGCATCCTACATCAAACCAACCACTGAGTTATGCAGAAATGTTTAAAAGTTCTGCTGCAGACGTTTGGATGTGGTTTTATATGATATTTTAAATGAAGTCTGTTCTGAAATGTCTATTCTGGGCTCTTTTTTCTAGTCCAGCTTCTTTTTGGCTTACAGCATCACTGAGGAAATTGTGCAGGACCGCTTTCATTCATCATGCCACCATACATTAAGATCTGCTGTAAGATTCATGCTGTTAGCTTTCATAACCTTCTCATGCATAATTCCCATAACACGCATGAGCTGTTTGACTTTAATGGGGACCAATCCTGCTTTAATAAGACATAGGCAGCGTGGTAGTGTCATTCATTATTCAAGCAAATCATATGTAAATTTAGAGCTCTATAGGACATTTTTCATTGGTGTGTTATCGCAGTCAGTAAGTCAAGAGAACTCAGGAAGCAGTTACTGAATTTTTATCCTCAGACCAAAGAAGATATTCAATGGAAAGCTACCATTAACCTCTTAAAATCTCAGCGTTATTACATATTAAGGCTTATTATTCAGTAACTACAGGGACTTCAATGCAAACTGGTGGAGCTATTCATAGGTTATAGAATAGTGTAATAAAACATACATATACATTTATCTATCCATTCCTTCATCCATATATGCGTCCATCTATCCATCCACCCATCTGTCCATCCATCAATCCATTCATCAGTCTAACTATGCCTTTATCCATCCATCCGTCTATTCATTCATACACTGAGCGCATTCACTTACCCTTCTCTCTCTTTCACAGTGGCCGCTCCTGATCTTCTGGACCCTAAAGCTGCCGCCCACAACTCCAAGCCTCGCCTTTCATTCTCCGCCAAACCGGTGGTGCTGAACTCGCCGGAAGACTTTGAGCCGCGCATCAGCGTCATGCGGTGGAAAACGGTGCTGACCGTTTTTCTGCTGGTGGTGCTCTATCTGATCGTAGGAGCCACTGTCTTCAAAGCTCTGGAGCAGCCTCATGAAAGCTCGCACAAACTGGCCATCCTCAGCCAAAAGCTCCAGTTCCTCATTGACCACCCATGTGTTAATGTAACTGAGCTGGAGGACTTGGTGAAGGTGAGGCGAGAAGACACTTCACTACACTCCCACTGTAATTCATTTATGTTTATATATCAAGGTATGTCAATGAACCTACCTTGTGTCCACACTTGTCCATTTTTTAGCTCCACTTAGCATATAGGTGCACTTTGTAGTTCTACAGTTACAGACTGTAGTCCATCTGTTTCTCTGTGGTCAGGACCCCCATGGGCCCTCACAGAGCAGGTACTATTTGGGTGGTGGATCATTCTCAGCACTGCAGTAACACTGACGTGGTGGTGGTTTGTTAGTGTATGTTGCGCTGGTACGAGTGGATCAGACACAGCAGTGCTGTTGGAGTTTTTAAACACTGTGTCCACTCACTGTCCACTGACACTGAGGTGTTTAAATACACCACCACCACCACCATGTCAGTGTCACTGCAGTGCTGAGAATGATCCACCACCCAAATAATACCTGAACTCTGGTGGTCCTGTAAGCAAGTATGAAGAAAAACAGATTATGACTGCAGTCTGTAATTGTAGAACTACAAAGTGCTCCTATATGGTTAGTGTTGTTGCAAATGGACAGTGAGTGTACACACACACGCACACACACACACACACACACACACACACACACACACACATATATATATATATATATATATATATATATATATATATATATATATATATACATACACACATATATACAGTGGAGGAAATAAGTATTTGATCCCCCACTGACTTTAAAAGTTTTAAAAGTTTTATAATTTTATGCAAGCTTTATTTTAACAGTGACACATAGAATATCAAAAGAAAAACTGAGAAAATTACATGAAATGAGAAATAAAAATTAATTTGAATTTCATTGAAGGAAATAAGTATTTGACCCCCTAGTAAAACATCATTTAATACTTGGTGGCAAAACCCTTGTTGGCAAGCACAGCAGTCAGACGTTTCTTGTAGTTTTTTATAAGGTTTGCACTTCAGGAGTAATTTTGGCCACTCTTCTCTGCAGACCATCTCCAAATCCTTAAGGTTTTTAGGCATGCAACGCGAAGCTTCAGCTCTCTCCATAGATTTTCTATGGGATTGAGGTCAGGAGACTGGCTAGGCCATTCCATGACCTTGATATGCTTCTTATAGAGCCACTCCTTTGTTTCCTTGGCTGTATGTTTTGGGTCGTTGTCGTGCTGGAAGACCCATCCACGACCCATTTTCAGTGCCCTGGCGGAGGCAAGGAGGTTGTCACCCAGGATTTTGCGATACATGGCCCCGTTCATCTTCCTGTCGATGCGGTGAAGTTGGCCTGTGCCCTCAGAAGAAAAACACCCCCAAAACATAATACTTCCACCACCATGCTTGATGATGAGGATGGTGTTCTTAGGGTCATATTCTTTATTTTTCTTCCTCCAAACACGTTGAGTTGAGTTGAGGCCAAAGAACTCAATTTTGGTCTCATCTGGCAACAGCACCTTCTCCCAGTCTCTCTCGGAGTCATTAATATGTTCATTGGCAAACTTGAGGCGGGCCTGGACGTGAGCCTTCTTGAGCAGAGGAACCTGGCGTGCACTGCAGGATTTTAAACTATTACGTCTCAGTGTATTACCAATGGTTTTTTTGGAGACTGTGGTCCCAGCTGCCTTGAGATCATTAATCAGCTCCTCCCATGTAGTTCTTGGCTGATTTTTAGCCTTTCTCATGATCAGTGAGACTCCATGAGGTGATATCTTGCATGGAGCTCCAGGCCGAGGTCGACTGACAGTAACGTTGTACTTCTTCCACTTCCGAATAATTGCACCAACAGTTGTCACCTTCTCATCCAGCTTCTTACTTATGGCTTTGTAGCCCATTCCAGCCTTGTATAGGTCAACAAATTTGTCCCTGACATCTTCAGACAGCTCTTTAGTCTTGCCCATGGTGGAGATGTTGGAGTGTCACTGAGTCTGTTGGCAGGTGGCCTTTTATACGGGTGACAATTTGGGACAGGTGTCTCTCATGCAGGTAACGACTCCACTGAGATTATGGTGTGTCAGTGGTCTGTGGGAGCCAACATTAGTCATGGTTTTTAGGGGATCAAATACTTATTTCCCTCAATGAAATGCAAATTATTTTTTATTTAAATATTATTTAATTTTCTAGATTTTCTTTTTAAAATTCCATCTCTCACTGTTAAAATGAAGCTACCATAAAAATCATAGACTGTTTAATTATTTGTCAGAGTATACATTTTCAAAATCAGTGAGGGATCAAATACTTATTTCCTCCACTGTATGTGTGTGTGTGTTCCCATCACTACCACTGTAAAGTGTGTATATATATATATATATAGATATTATGAGTGGTAAAAACATGTATTATATTAAGAAACATCAGGTGTAATTTTTGGCTAAAAACAGAAAGTATGCTCTAAAGTCAGTGCAAGTCAATGGAAAAAGCTTACTGGTTGTTTTATTAGCTTAAACTATGCGCCCTCTGTTGGTTTGGTAAAACTTTCTATGTCTATATAATAATAATAAACATTTACTAATAAAAATAGTGTGTGGCCACAACTTAGTAAGTCAGGGGAGTGAGACAGTTAAGTCATAGCCTCAACTTCATAAAGCATAGGAACGAGACAATAAGTCATTCCTTTACCTTACTAAGTTGTGGTCATGACTTAACTGTCTTGCTCCCACACCTTACTAAGTCATGGCCACACACTAAGATCCCATTCCCATGCCTTAACAAAATTGTGGCCAGGTATTGCTTTTATTAGGAAAGATGTCACCAGCAGGGCTCTGTCGAGAGATTCATGTGGAATCGAGTGAAGGTGCTGGTGGAGACCCAAGCTGGGTCCCAATTCAGGGGCTGCGTCCTTCAAAGGATGTGTAGACCCACGAAGGCTGAATCGAAATGAGTCGGCCTGTTTTGCTTTAGACCACATTGGCTTTTTAAACATTTGTATCATTAGCCATTCGATTCAGTTTAAACCCAATATTTATATTTAAAAGTGTCTCCTCAGTCGGCGTTCACTCCTCTGCTGAGGCCGCCATGTTCTCGAATCCTCGCCGGCACGCAATGAACCTTAGGATATGTTGGCTGGTGAAGGATCCACCAGTTGGATCCTTTGTCGCCATGGAAAAGGACACATTTCTCAGCCACATGTGAAGGAGCCTTTGAAAAGGGACAGCCTAGTCGCGTCGCTGTGACGCATTTGGCCTTCAAATGCAGCCTCTGAAGGATGCAGACCCTGAATTGGGACACAGCTATAGACTCCAGGGTATTTAGGTACCATGGACAGCTACCAAAGGATATTCTATTCCTCCCCCCCAACACCGCAAAGTTTGGACAGCAGAGTCTGCTGAAATGTTTGAAGAGTGCGGGGTCAATTTAGCTGTGCTAACCCAATTTGTTTGTACATTTTGTACTTGGAATTAGTTCAAGTTACAGAATTAATGGAAGGGAAGTAATGGAAGTACTCGAATGACCTCAGGAAGTCAGTTTCTTCATTAAAAAGTCGAGTAGAATGCACTTTGAGTGACTCTGTGCAGTTTCTCTTCCTGCCAATGGCTAGATTAGATGAGCTGATGAAAATGAATGAACGCAGTAATATCTGTCTACGACAGCAACATCTCTCTCTCTCTCGCTCTCTCTCTATCTATCTCTGTTTACCTGTCATAGTTTGATTGACAGATCTTTGAGAGCCTTTTAGAGTTGACTTTTGAGCGTAATGCCTCAGGCTCTGTTGGACTCTTCGTGTCTTCTTCACTCACCCAGTCCTTTGTATGCCCTTTTTTGCTTTCTATCAGAAGACGAAACAGTGCTGCCTCAGTGCTGCTGTTAGATAAACATGCTGTGACTGCATTTGCTTATGAGAAACACACTGTAAAAAAAAAAGAAACCTCACTGCTTTAATTGCACTTTACTGAACTTTAAAAGTAGTACTTTATTTGGGCGGTTCACTGTAGATGCTGTGAGACCGGGGTTTGCAGGAAATATGGTTTATTCAGAGCTCTGTACACCTGTCTTAGTCTCACCCCAATCTCAACCGCAGCTCAGACATGCTATGTCCCTGACCCCCCTCCCCTGGACCCTTGGTACCATCGTAAAACTGAAGTCAGAGTTCTCAGAGCCTTAGATCCTGTCGTGAAAACCTTACTGTCGTAAAACGACCAGAGTTGATGTCGTAAATTGAGTGCTCTGCTCCAGGAAGGCCCAATCCTCCTTAGGGGGTGTCGTAAAGGCCATCTGCTGTAACTGTTCAAACCATGAGAACAGAATGGAGGTGGCTTCTTAAACCCTTCAGCGTTAATACTGTTTAGCAATGAATAACGACAATCACTGCAGTAAAAAAATAAAGAGAAAACTAGAAATTACAACAAAATAAACCTATTCCCAACAATGCTTTTTAGATTACCAACCTGCTTTTAACTCACATTCATCTACCTAAATTTCAATTCACCTCAACCTTCTCTAACTCTAAACCTGGTTTAGACCCTAATTCAAACCTTAACTTTAATCAGAAACCTAACCCTGGTCCTCCCCCAAACTGTGGTCCAAATTCTAGCCCCAACCTCAGCAGTGTTGAGAATCAACAGATCATTTGTTAACCATAGTGTCTGTTGATAATTTATATCAGCAAATAATTACTTTTTAATTTTTACTATTTTTAGAATTTCACATCAGTGTTGCAAATGGAAAATTGTGTTTTGTGAAAATGGGACATCCATGACTTTTTTCCCATTGAAGGCTAAGGCATGAACCTTGTAGAGAAGTTGGATAAGTCTGATCAGGAACCAGAGGTCACACTCAGACCAGGCCTCGTAGTGATATAACGGAAAGGTTGCAGGGGCTCTAAGCCTGGAACTAGGACTACAATAGGACCCTCAAGAGAGTTGTGACCCCCAGGTCATGAACCCTTGGGCTAAACAATAGCTATTATTCTAAAATGGTTATCCATCAAGATTCAGTGTTAGGTTTTGAACTGAAGCGTTTACTGAATGATTCACTGTAAAACTGCAACAGAGTAAGGTCTCTGTTACGTGTGGGGAA